GAACTTGCAGGCACTGGACTGGTAAAACTGAACTTGATTTACATAGGTTATACCTGATCCTGGAATGCAATTTCAAGCGAGGGAGACCGCCGGTAATGCGTTTGTGTGACAGCCTGTGATGAACGTTTTGTACCGTGTCCAACAATTGCTTACTGTGGCCTTGGTCACGGAACATTAATATGGTATTCATTCTGTACTGTGCTATGTATATCTAATATCATAGCACATCTACAGCATAAAATACAGCTCGTTTTGGCTCATGTACAGTGTGTACCTTGCGTGGGTTGATAAGAAACTGTTTTGCTCTTTGTTCTGACTGAGCTTTCTAGAAGAACAGGCGCTGTTTGATAAGCCCCCCTTCATCTGATGCAGACTGCTTAGCACTGTTAAATCAACGGTTCAAATCTCTCTGGGTAGTTATGTGTGAGGTATTAGTTTAAAAAGTGTTCTTTCTCCTCTGAAAGGAGAGCACAATTATGGCTCTGGTAAACAGTGTTTGTTCTGTTTGCTCTAATAACAGATCCTGAGGTTTTTGTGGAAAGCTTGTCAATGTCAACTGAATTCATCAGTCGTGTGCAGCCTTGAAGGAAAAGTTACTAAAAATCTTCAGTCTGTCATTTATCCGTGCTTATGTCACTCCAAACTCATTCTGCTTTGTTTTTCCATTGAGATGGAATGTTTAGAGAGCTTTTTTCCTTGATGTTCCCTGGGTCTGTGATCTAAAAATAACAAACAGCAACATGAAAGTGGTCCATACTAGTTGTGCACTATAGTTCTTGTGTTGTCTGACATGTTTGATTGGAAAGTATGGGGATCGGGAAAGGTCCTTGAGCCAAGACTTAAGACAGGGGTGTCCAATCCTGCTCCTGGAGTGCCAACGTCTTGCAGAGTTTAGCTCCAACCAGCTCCAACACACTTGCCTGGACGTTTCTAGTAATCCTGAAGACCTTGATTAGCTGATTCATGTTGGTTTAATTAGGATTAGAGCTCAACTTTGCAGGACAGTGACCCTCCAGGAGTGGGATTAGACACCCCAGCCCTAAGCACCATTTGATAGTGCTTAGGGCTGGTCGGAATAAAATTTAAGTCATTATTTAGCAAAAATATTGCCCTCTGCCATAGCTCTGAATTCTCATATTCAGTGAATACACTCTTCAGGAAGTCCACGACAAATGGAGTACTTAAAAGTGCTGTATGTCATTTTTTGGACTTACTAAAAAATGTAATAAAAGTAATACAATATGTTCAGATATTTATGAAACTTGCTAAGTTAGGTTATTCTGCAGCCAGTTATTCTACTTTGAATTGTGAGTTCCATGTCGGAATGTCTGTTTTTGATTTGGTCTGTGTGATTCCACCCAATGTCAATTTACCCACTAGTAGTTCAACATCCTGGGTTGCCAGTTGGCAGAAAACACAGCATATTGCAGCCATGGAAGCTTGTCGCCTTCTATTGTCTAATTGTGTTCATTCCTGTTGCGTGTCCTCAATCTGGCAACCCACATGGGCGTCTGAGGAGGAGGGGGTGGGAGAAACAACTCTCTCTGATATTTTGAATTTGGACTGCAGCACGCATTTCAACCGCCAGCTGTCAATATTTTATGCTTCACCTTTAAAACAATAGTTGCGTCAGCACATCAAACTGTGATTCTAGTATGAAAAAATATATATATTACACAGATCAGCTTTATAGAGGAATTCACTGCCAGTTATTCATTTTCACTTGTTTTTAATCACAGAATGTGCAAAAAATCTACAGATTTTCCTATTCTGTTCAGTCTGAAAGACATGTTCAAGGGTCAAAAAGATAATTCCGTTGTGGACAAGCCAGTTACCAGTTTGTTATACAGACAGCTGGAGCACTTGAAGTTGTTCTCGTCAAGAAGATCACAGTTAATTTCCTTTTCTCCATGGGCACAAAATCCCTTAAGCTTTCTAATTAGTAGTGAATGGGCGGAATGTAAATGTGCCGCTGCTGCTCGTGGTTTAATGATATAGTGGAGTCTAAAGGAGTATTGTGTAGATAATGGCTCTACAGTCAGCTATTACCATTGCTCGCCCACTCTCAACAGCCTGTTGCCCAAGATACAGTCTTTCACTTTGTCTTCTCAATAGCGTTTTTCTTGACAATACATCATCTGGGAAGGTTTTAAAGCATTTCTAAAGTGTTTGTATTCAAGTGGCTTTGCTTTTTGCGTGTGTGTGCTGGCGCTATGATGAAACTATCAGAAAGTCGACTGAGGGAAAGTTCTTGTCATGGAGGTTACAGCTATTCAGTGTTGTTCAGTTGAGAATTGCAAACTCACCCACTTATCCGGTAGATCCTGTTGTCATTTGTCAACTGTAGTGTTTTTTTTTTTTGTTTTTTTTTAAATGTACACTTATGTAGCATTATTTTACCCTCACAGTTCTTCCACTAACAGTTATTCAAGATTTGAAACTGTTGTTCTGTCATGACAGAAGTTCACCTAAAAAAATACCATAGACTACTGGGGAAAAAAACATTAGCTAATGTCATTATTGCAATGCTGAGAATACAATGTTCACTTGCACTGTATTATAAATTGGATCAGAACAAATCAGAGCTTTTCTGGGCATTACTGCAGTTTTACTGCAGAATTGGGCTACTTTTACACTGTTGTTGCGGGTTGTTTTTTTAGTTTGAGGATTGAAGCGACTTCCTCCTGCAATGCAATTTCGAGGAGGGGACCGTAGGAAAAAACATAACTGGGCTAGTTTTGCAATTTTAGCAGTTGGGCTGGTTTTGTTTCGCAGACCTGACAGTCATGTTTCCAGGTCCGTACATCTGTCTTGGGTTGTTTCACCAAGTATATAGTGTAATCCAAAGTTCTGTTATGAAACTCTAGATGATGCAGGCCGATAGTTTCTAATTCAATCTGATATAATGACATCACTATTCACATGGTGCAGCCGAATGGTTCTTTTCACATCATCAGCCAATGAGCTGCTGCTCAGCATTCAAATACTCGGATAGTGATTGCTGTAGCAGTTGCAGCATGCTTCAGAAACCCTCCACCTTCCCCAGCACCACCTGTCTAGATCTGCTATGGGGTAATTTCATGTATGTTATATATGGGGGTTATTTCATATATGTTATATGTGCAGCAGCAGTATTTCCTACATGCTCACAGCAGCATGTTTGTGGATGTATTGGCAGTAGCAGGTCTCAATATTTGTTCTGCTGCAGCAGCGTAGCAGATCTTTTCTGCCAAGACCAAACACAGTAACATTTCCATGTAGTATATTACCATGCTAAACTCTCCGAGAGTTATCATGACAGAAATGCAGTTATCGCATATGGGTCACTTTTAAAAGGAGATGTAAGCTGGTTGTCAAAAAAATAGGATATTGTCAACAAATCAGAATTGGGCATCAAGACCTTAAGAATATATACGGCTAAAGACTTCTACATTTAAATGACCTTACATTGTTTTAGTGTATTTGCTTGTGAAATGAGTAAAAATGTGCAGCCATAACATTTTGTGTTTAATTTATATAGATGTGGGTGGTAATATGTTACGTATTGTTAGTTATGATATCATAACTTTTGCATGTAACCCACATTGTTTGTAGTGTTGGCATGATACCTGAAGTCATATTAAGACACCAAGAACACCCGAGCAATGCCCTAATAGTGTTGTCAAAAGTACCAACTCAACAGATATGTCTGTGATTGGCTACAATGATCATCGCTTCACGCTCTTTACCGAGCGCTCACACAGAAGCACACAGGAGCGTTTGAAAGCCACGTCTATCACAGGATCTGTCTATGAGCAGAAATATTAGGGATCCACTGACAGATCCGCTGATAGACAAGGCTTTTAAATGCTCCCGTGTGTATCTGTGTAAAGCTAGGTGCACACTGCGATTTTTAATAGTCCTTTACGATTGTTGCTTGTCAGGCTGTACAAACATGATCATGTCACACTGTGGGATCTCAGTTGTCATTAATGTCAGACTGTACAACAGTCAAGATGCATTAAAACGGATGCGCGCAAGAAAACATGACCAGAGTTTTACATTATCAGCCCATACACGTTTAGTGACTACGAGCTGCATTACACGTGGTGCTGAAATGTTGGCTATCATGAAAAGTATATGAATACCAGCGTATTTAAGAAAAATAGTGTAAGCAGCACTACACACCCACATGAAAACAGCGGCGCAACCGGAGTTTATCATAGCAAAGGCAACATATCATAGGAATTCCGTGAGCGGAGGACGGGAGCGCCGGAGTTTATGGCGGTTAGAAGAAATTAGTGATCGACCGATATTTATATTTTATAACCGATACCGATACCAATTATTTGCATGTTTATGTGCCCGATAACCGATATGCAGAACCGATATTTATTTACTGTTATAAAGTAAATAAATGACTGAGTGAAGTACGTTCATACGTTTTGTCGTTCTAGATTATGAAATGCCTGCTGACAGCGCAGGATTATAAGACTTGACGGAGAAACGGATATTTCTTCGAGCCAAGCTGCATAAACTGCATATCAGGCATTTATGTACATCTCATTTGTGCATTAATGGCTGTTATGTTAAATAAAGTTTACTAACTACAGTAAATCAAGTACCCGTGCACGCCGTTGTTGTTGTCTTGTTTCCCGATTATAAGACTTGACGGAGAAACGTATATTTCTTCGAGCCAAGCTGCATAAACTGCATATCAGGCATTTATGTACATCTCATTTGTGCATTAATGGCTGTTATGTTAAATAAAGTTTACTAACTACAGTAAATCAAGTACCCGTGCACGCCGTTGTTGTTGTCTTGTTTCCCCTCAGATGCGCTGCAATGGTGATCCTGTGCGCAATTCTCAAAACATCCACAAGATGGCGGCGTTTATCGGTGAATCCGATATTACAAAACCGATATCCGATTATTGTAAAATGCTTAAATATCGGGAAAAATATCGGTAAATCGATATATCGGTCGATCTCTAGAAGAAATCTCTAGCATTAATTCTGATCATGGCTTGTCTAGAAGAACGAAGACAGTTTAACGTTCGTCGTATGAGACGTCACACTGCAAAACACTGCCAGAATTTCATTGGAGGTAAAATTTGACAAAGACTACAGATTTTAGCGTAGTATTATAGGAATCTTTTAGGTTTTTCAAAATATGTCTCAGACAACCAAATCATGGCCAAAATCGCACAGTGTGAGCTGGGCTTAAGCGCTCAGTGAAGAGCGTGAAGCAATGATCATTGTAGCCAATCACAGACATACTGTATCTGTTGAGCGTGTGAACACAATGGCCAATCAGAGGCATTTAAAATTCCTCTCAACAGTGCTCAAAATGGTAGCGGGAAATGCTGGTATCGTCAGACACACAAGTCGGTACTTTTGACAACACTATGCCCTAGCAACAACTCTGAACCTGATCCTCATCGAGTTACTAAGGTGGCAACCCTGGTGGCAAGTTTTGCATGAAGAAGCAGCACTCACATCCCTTTCAAACATGCTGTTGACACACTGGAGTCAGTTGACTACAGTGCATGAACCTCTCTGTGCTCATGATTAAAGTCTTTCTTCAGTGCGCCCGAGAGAGGTTTTTCAGTATCAACAAAACTACAGTTTTCTCTCCCCAACACAATCAGGGCAGCCCTCAAGAGCTCTCAAAGAGCAGCCTGACAGCACAATCTAATGAATCGCCATTAACTAACTCTATTCCCATGAAACACAGGCACTCTCCAGGTAACAGAGTGCTGCTGTGGGTGAAATTAGAGTCACACTTAAAAGAACAAAAAAAGACTCAAGTTTGCTTGAGTTACCTACATCACGCATGACATTTCCAACGTGACTACGGAATGCGTGAGGTCAAGCTAGTGCAAGATGAGCATTTGTGGTTAAAATGTATTAAAAAAGTATACATTTTTATTTCTTTTAGAAAATGGCTGATTGTTACACTGGACAAGACCCTTATTCCTCGGCTGGGATCATGTAGAGCCCCTTGAAGCTGCACTGAAACTGCAATTTGAACCTTCAACCTGTTGGTCCCATTGAAGTCCACTATATGGAGAAAAATAAAAATTTCCTGATAATTTACTCACCCCCATGTCATCCAAGATGTCCATTTCTTTCTTTCTTCAGTCGAAATGAAATTAAGGTTTTTGAGGAAAACATTCCAGCATTTCTCTCCATATAATGGACTTCAATGGTGGCCGAGTTGAAGGTCCAAATTGCAGTTTCAATGCAGCTTCAAAGGGCTCTACATGATCCCAGCTGAGGAGTAAGGGTCTTATCTAGCGAATCGATCAGTCATTTTCTAAAAAGACTTAAAATATATATACTTTTTAACCACAAATGCTCATCTTGCTCTAGCTCTGCAAAATGATCATTGTAGCCAATCACAGACATACTGTATCTGTTGAGCGTGTGAACACAATGGCCAATCAGAGGCATTTAAAATTCCTCTCAACAGTGCTCAAAATGGTAGCGGGAAATGCTGGTATCGTCAGACACACAAGTCGGTACTTTTGACAACACTATGCCCTAGCAACAACTCTGAACCTGATCCTCATCGAGTTACTAAGGTGGCAACCCTGGTGGCAAGTTTTGCATGAAGAAGCAGCACTCACATCCCTTTCAAACATGCTGTTGACACACTGGAGTCAGTTGACTACAGTGCATGAACCTCTCTGTGCTCATGATTAAAGTCTTTCTTCAGTGCGCCCGAGAGAGGTTTTTCAGTATCAACAAAACTACAGTTTTCTCTCCCCAACACAATCAGGGCAGCCCTCAAGAGCTCTCAAAGAGCAGCCTGACAGCACAATCTAATGAATCGCCATTAACTAACTCTATTCCCATGAAACACAGGCACTCTCCAGGTAACAGAGTGCTGCTGTGGGTGAAATTAGAGTCACACTTAAAAGAACAAAAAAAGACTCAAGTTTGCTATCAAAGAAGATCAAGCAGTTGCCTGGGCGGGATGCGCTTCTCCATTCCTTCCTCATTTATTTATTTTTAAAATGGCATTTCACTCCCAACTCTTAATGCACTCTCATGCAGTCTGTCCATCCTCTCATCTCTCCTCACGCCTGTCCGTCACACACAAAGTGAAAGTGGTAGCGATGAATTATTCACCACCACTTGAACTCCACAGCCGCTCTCGTTCTCGCTTTTTCTGCAGCTTTAATTGGGTTTCAGAGGATAACAATGAGGACAATATCTGATTAATCAAACAAAGAGCCATGGTTTTTAAAAAGCTCAGATGAATGAAGGACATGGAGGTGAGCGTGGTATGCTTCAGGGGAGAAAGGAGGTTAAACATTATGATAGTTGTGTCTGGCATCGGATTTGAACGTTTGAAATATTGTTTCTTCTTCAAGAGGAACTACAGCTAGTGAAATGCTGGGTATCTACTGGGTTAAAAGCAACTTAAAGGATTAATTCACTTCTAGAATAAAAATTTCCTGATAATTTACTCACCCCCATGTCATCCAAGATATATATTAAATTATTTGATTTAAGTGTCATGTTTGATTTTTTTTTATATATATATATAAAAAAATGCTTTATTTAATCAGAAACACTGTCTAAATATTATTTGTGTATTGCAGGCATTAGGACCCGGGGGAAGGCTGCCGCTGCACGTGCTATTACTGTTTACTCCAGGGGAAGGCAACTTCGGTCCTGGAGTGCTGATGTCCTGCAGGGTTAAGCTCTAACCCTAATCAAACACACCTGAACAAGCTAATTGAGGTCTTCAGGATTACTAAGGCTACAAGCAGGTGAGTTTTTTTTCAGGGTTGGAGCTAAACTCTGCAGGACATCGGCACTCCAGGACCGATGTTGCCTACCCCTGGTTTACTCTATCATACACCGAACGCGTCATTCTGTTCGTGCATTCTCAGTTTAAATGCAGCGATCCAAAACAGTGAATCCAATCACCATTCAGGCAAAACTTTGCTTCAAGAATGAGCCACAATGCTGACGTGATCTAATCGCACTGTTGACTGATCTAATCGCTAGCACACCCTGAGCAAATGCAAGTTAATGTATTCCTCTTATCAGCAAGACATATCGGCATAATTTTTCATATCGGGCCCATGCGGATATTTACATTTAAAGCCATTATCGACCTATTCCGATATTGGTCCGATAATATCGTGCATCCCTAAGAAAAATCCTGGAATGTCACTAACATAGCTACACTTGCTCAACCAATGACAGTCATTATTTTCAATTCAGTTTGATCCTGCTGAATTTACGCACATTTTCTCATCTCTCTACAGTCACTTTAGGGAAATTTCACCAGCAAAAATTACATTGTCAGTAGTGTAGCGCCGTATCAAGCACAGCTCATGCAAAACTCACTTTCAAATCAAGCAGCCTTCTGTTAGTTAACATGGCAAATCCATGTGAACAGCTTGAACCTATTGTGAAATCTGTGTGGGGAAATCATGGCCCTTATGTGAAATTACCAATTGCTTTGATTACTATTGAAATGACTGGATTTTGGCTGCAGAATTTCATGGGTGAAGTTAAGTCATTCCGATAGGAATACCCAAGCAGTTTTTGCTCATTTTGTTGGTAACTTACATTCACCACACTGACCAACAGAAAGCCACTTGGTTTGAAAATGACTTGTCAGCTCTGCTTCATACATTACTACATTATTGATGAGACATTTTTGGGAATTTTGTCTGTGGGTGACTGCGCCATAGTGTGTTGGCTTGCACTCTAGCACTTTTGGTGCAAACCCAGGTTTGTTTGACGTCAGAGTTTGGATAATATGAATGCTGTTTTCTGAACTCACAAACCTTACCCGAGTCCACTTAAAAAGGGTGGTAAGGATGTGAACTCCAGAGTGGTACTAAATCACAGAAGTGTACCGCTATTGAAGACAAATGAATTGGTCAAACTGTGTATTAATGTTTTCTCACTCACTTTCCTCACAATTGTAACTGACGCGACGCAAGCAGAGAGAATTTATACCTCATTTCCACTCGCCTTCAGCAGAAATCGGCTCCCGTGTTCTTTTGATCTTTTATATTTCATTCGTGACAAATAGGCACTGCGCCATTATGTTTTGTCGTTTTGGACCATGCAATCGAATCAAGTGTGAAAGCACCCTGAGTTCTATTTCTGTTAATCACAAAAGACAATAATTTGTACTCAAAGTTTAGTTCCAAACAGGAACACCTTTAAAGTATTGAATCCATAATGCAAATATACTGCTGTAAGGGTAGCATATCGTTTTTGCATTCCACTGCGCTGCTTTTCCATTGTTTTTCTATGTAAACATCTTCAAATTCTGTGATCAACACCCTGGCTTACACTTTTTAAAACGTATACAACACAGACCTAATTTCCTTGCATTGTTGTATGTCGCAAAGTGTCAAAACAATTAAAAATGCAACAGAAGTATACCTTGTGTTCTCAGTTTTGCCACAAGGGGTGCTCAAATCGACTTTAGTGTACACTATTTATTAGCCAACTGCAATACTGCAGTAACTAGCGTTGCCATGAGATTGGGCTAATAACATCACTTGCTATACTTCTCCTGTCTGTGCAGAATGATGTCGAATATTTTAACTCATGTCATGAGCATGTAAACTTGGCTTTTAGTGCATTAGTAGTATGCATTATCATAGTAGATGTTCAAATGTTAGTGTGCTTTCACTGGAAAACTCTGACTACTAAGATATTCATCTTGACTATGATTGCAGTGATGTTCATCTAGGTCGGGCACACACAAAGTCAGCATCTGGCCAGCCTGAAGGCTTTAAAAAAAAGAAGTACGTCATATCTTATCATTGGCATATAAATATAACCGCATGAGCTGCAGGACTCCGCATGTATGACTGGCTTGATAAGGATCTTTGCGTGTCTCCATTGAGGCAGTCCCTGGGCTGGAGATGCAGAGAGTTGAACAGATGCCTGGGGCCTGTTCTGTTCACACAGATAAGCAGCTGTCACAGCTGTCATACACTCCAAAACTTATGATACTGCTTCCTGTATTAGGCAGAGCATGACCCCGCTCATTATTGTGAAGCTGTGGTGTGTTTCTGCTGACATCTGCTAGGGTCTGAAACTCATTCCTGTGGAGGACCAAGGGCTCTGATTAATCTTGTTTTGATCTACTTCATTTTACTTTATATTTTGGCAGTTAACAGGAGGAGACAGTCGGGCAAATATATAAAGTGGCCATAGAGTGTATAAATCTGAAATCAGATATAACTTGATGTGAAGTTACAAATGTGCATAAAGTCTGCACAAATCTGAAATTGTGAAAGACTTTTCTTCACTATTGTGATATATATATATACAGTGGGTACGGAAAGTATTCAGACCCCCTTAAATTTTCCAAGTGAAACGTGAAGAAGAAAAAATTGGGGCGAGACTTTGTTAATCTGGAATTGACTGGATTGTGGAAAGTGTTGCAAACGTAATGAAGGATTTCATTTAGGGATGTTTCGTTTTTCTGCTGTTAAATTGTTTTATACTAAACTTTGAGCGTGTTTCAAAGATTGAAAAACAGGAACTAGTGAGGCACCGAAATATATTTTTTTAATATCAGCTGACATGTTTACCTGTTGTAATTTTATCCATGTTGTGTGAACAAAATAGACACTGACTCAAAACACACCATTACAGAAATTCTTTCTGAAATTTCTGCCCTCCAAAACAGTTTGGATATTTGTTTTCGCTGTATATTTTTCTATTGCAGAAATACCGGTGCATCAATACCAAGAACCTCAAAAAGCAATCAACAGCTGTGATTTTGAAAAGCTTAAGCCAGACTATGCATCAGATGACCAGTATGATTTCCAGTGGTTGACGTATGTCATGTTTTATGTGAGTTGAATATGGAGGTCCTGACTGTTTTGGGTCTGTGTCTCTAGTACAGGATTGGTCAGCTGTACATGATCAGCAAGCACAGCCATGAGCAGAGCGAGAGAGGAGAGGGTGTGGAGGTGGTGCAGAACGAACCCTATGAGGACCCCAACTACGGCCCGGGACAGTTCACTGAGAAACGCATTTATCTCAACAAGTGAGTAGCAACTGTCGTCAATTACTTGTCAAGGCAAAACACCTCTGCAGAGTCTCTAGGTGTGTCAGTTCAAAGTGTTTGATGCACTATACTCAAACTGTATTAATCAATCAAATATGATCCATTTTTATTGGTGCTCAGTTATTAATAACGACTCTTATGATCGATGTTGAAAATGTTGCTTTTGTTTGTCGAAACTGCTACTTTTTTCAGGATTTTTTTGATGAATACACAGTTCAAAAGAACAGCATTAAATTTTTTGTAACATTAAAAATATCTTTACTGTCACTTTTGATCAATTTAATGCATCCTTGCTAAATAAAAGTATACATTTCTTTTTAAATCTTACTTAACCCAAACCTTTGAATGGTAGCGTATCATGGTTTCCGCAAAAATATGAAGCAACACAACTGTTTTCTACATTGATAATAGTAATAACTGTTTCTTGAGCAGCAAATCAGCATATTAGGATGATTTCTGAAGGATCATGTGACACTGAAGACTGGAGTAATGGTGCTGTTTTAAAAAACATGAAAAAAATCTTAATCATTCCAAACTTTTAACCAGTAGTGTATGTTATACATTTAAAATAAAACATTATTTTGTTAACATCACTCATGTAACCAAACCATAACATGCGTTTTAATGGCATAAAGTCCACTTTGCAGAATGTTCTGGCCAAGATCCAACATATAAACATGCATGTCTAACAACAAACTGTTGGTTGCTCTACATGACATTTTATATGACATTTAGAGGTTTAGATCTGATAAACTAGTAGCTCATTCAAATAACGACAGTCTCCTTGAACGAACCTACTGAACACAGTAGAAATGAGTGCAAAATACGACTCGTCACGAGAAGCTCTCCTTGACTTTATAGCGTGTCTCCTTTTACTGCATGAACTGGGCGCTTGCTCAAGGCTTCTACAGCAAGAATGAGTTCTCTGTTAACTCAGACATTACATTACATTACATGCTGCCAGTCGAAATGAGACTTGTGTGATTTGTGTATAACTGAGGTATATTTAAACACAGAAGAGCACCATATTTGATCCACCAGGAAGAAAGATTATTCATCTGTAGGTTGTACAGGATGAAATGTTATATACTGGTTAAAGTCAGCATAAAATCAAAATTGACCTTCTTTACACTGTTCAAAAATTTGGGATCTGTCAGCTCGTTTGAATGTTTTTGCTCACCAAGGCTGCATTTATTTAACTAAAACAGCAGTATTGTGAAATATTATTACAATTTCAAATAACTGTTTTGTATTTGAATATATTTTGAAATGTAATTTTTTCCTGAATTTTCAGCATCATTATTCTAGTCTTCAGTGTCACACGATCCTTCAGAAATCATTCTAATATGCTGATTTGCTGATTTGCTGCTCAAGAAACACTTCTTATTATTATCAATGTTGAAAACACCTGTGCTACTTAGTACAGTATATTATTATTATTTTCGAGATTCTTTGATGAATATAAACATGAAAAGAATCCAATTTATTCGTAACATTATAAATGCCTATTCTGTCACTTTTGATCAATTTAATGCAGCCTTGCTGAATAAAAGTATTAATTTCTTTTTTTTACTGACCCCAAACAGTACTGTATTTCCTTAACACATTTTAAGCTTATTGTGCATGATTTATCAGTACATGTTATGCAAAAGACAAAATTATTTTCATAGTTTCATAGTAAATGTGCATATTTAAGATTTCACTGTTGGTAAATATCTGATTTTCTCTTCATTTGACGTCACCAACACTGTTTACCTTTAGCCAAATGGATAAAAATCAGGCCCTTCCCTACATTTTCTATTTCTATGTACTATCTGCATATCTCCTTTTTTTCACTGGTCTTTGTAGTCTCTTTTCTAAATGTTTTTTAGTACATTGACATCGAGCCTCAGTCGGGGTCACTGCAGTCCACCGGAGATCTTCAATTCATTCTCACTAAGAGAGCGGTCTCCAGGCGGCTGCTAGTTTAACAAGAATAAGCAAGGGCATGACTCGAGACCCAAACACTTTCCCAAAAATAGCCAGTAAATGGGTTCAGGACACCGTCCCCCAAGACACTGCCCATTCTGGCTACTGATAAATCAATCACTCATGCAGATGTGTTTTTGGAGAGACGCTTTATTGAACCGAGACATCAGTCCCCCAGGACCGGGCTGATTAAACTGTTCCTCTGCGGGTCATGATTGGCTGAGAGGTGGTCATGACATCACACGACAACCAGTTTAGACCATGGGCAACAGATTTGGGTGGGCTTTTGGCCTTCTGTGAATGTCTTTATTGAAGCTATAAATGATTTTATCACATTGTCTTTTGAATCTTTCATGCTTGGTCATTTTCATCAGTAGTCTATGCATTCAGAGCGTTAGTTCTGAAAGTATTTTCAGCTAAATGGTTCAGAAAATTCACAGATTGTGACTAGTGTTGTTATTGTTAACCAAAACTAAATTTTAAAAAAAAGGTAATATTTTGGTTTAAAAAACCCATAACCAGCTAACTACTTTTTTAAAATCCGATTTTTAAACAAACCGTTTTAAATGCAGGTTGTATGTAAACAGATCTGTTTGGTTTTTCTGTTCAGACTGCAGTCACTTTTGCTAGCACATCCACACTAGTTGTCATAGTAACGAGGCAAACTTGCGTAGGTTCACCATGCATGAGATTTTAGCAATGCATGTTCCGCCACTGATTCTTGTTCATTAGGGTAGAGTATACAAATCTGAATTTGCTGCAGACAACAGTGTAAGGAACAGAAACGGTATAATGCCCAGGTAATGTACCTTAGTTAAGCAAAAAGATATGGACCCATGAAAAGAGTGTTGACCGGTGGGAATGTGTCCATGGGACTTTTCAAGAGGACTCTTATCTTGCTGACTTCAAGTTGTTAACGAAAGGAAGAATTTGAAATGCTCTGTGATCTTTACACACTGAACATGTCCATTAAAAATGAAAATTTGCTTAAAATGTACTCACCTTCAAGCCATCCATGTAGATGAGTTTGTTTTTTCATGGAAACAGATTTGGAGAAACGCAGCATTATATCAATTGCACACCAGTGTGCCGTCAGAAGGAGAGACCAAACAGCTGATTAAAACATCACAATAATCCACAAGTAATCTACATGACTCCATTCCAACAGTTAACATCATGTGAAATGAAAAGCTGCTTGTTTGTAAGAAACAAATCCATCATGACGTTTATAACTTTTCGCTTCTGACCAAAATGTGAGTCCATATTTTTTTTTTACTGAAAAAAGCAATATTATGGATAGAGGACTCCTATTTTGGCCAGAAGAGATAGTTTGAAGTTTGAACTCCTTAATGATTTGTTTCTTACAAACACGCAGCTGTTTGGACTCTCATTCTGACGGCACCCATTAACTGCAGAGGAGCCATTGGTGAACAAGTGATGTAATGATACATTTCTCCAAATCTGTTCCAATGAAGAAACAAACTCATCTACTCTACATCTTGGATGGCCTGAGGGTGAGTAAATTTTAAGCAAATGTTCATTTTTTTTGGTGAACTATTCCTTTTTATTTTAAGATTTATTTTAGGCCTTTATTTAGATAGGACAGTGTAATGACAGGAAGCGAAGTGGGAGAGAAAAAGGGGGTGGGATCAGGAAAGGTCCACAAACCCGGGATGCCCGTAGCGCAGCAGCACTATATGTCAGCGTGCTGCCAACAAGGCTATTGACATCGGCCTTGGTGAACTATTCCTTTAAGACACATTCAATTCCTGTTGTTATTAACAACCCCTCACGAAATATTATGAAAAGAAATAACACATTGCTCTAACTATGTGTGTTTGAAAGTCTGAGACACATTACCAAAAATCAGAAATCACACCACTTCTGAAATTGGTTTGGATCAGGCAAACAAAACGAAATGACAACAAAACAAAACAAAACACAAAACAAAAAAACGAAACACTACACAACACAAAACAAAACAAAAAACACAACAACACTACACAACACACAAAACAAAACAAAACACAAAACAAAACACAAAACAAAAAAAACAAAAAAACACAACACAAAACAAAAAACAACAAACAAAACAAACAACACAACACAACAAAACACAAAAAAACAAAACAAAAAACACAACACAACACAAAACAACAGTTGAATAGGCCTGCTTGTGTAAGCACAGCCTGAAATACACCTGGTGAGACACATGATTATAGCTACAAAAAAGCCAGATATTTTAAAATGGTGTTTTCAATTACACACACCCATTAAAAACAAGCTTCTAACCTTTGACCCAGTGTCTGAGGCTCAGACTAAATTTAGTAGGAGCGCTTCAGTAGCTCAGCATTTGCTTCATAAAAAAATTACTCACGTTTTCAGCATTTCAACATTTATGAGTGCCTACAGATGTGTGGGTTATGAACTGCTTCTAGTATTTTTTTATGAGCCTAAGAATATCATTTTTACAGTAGGATAACTACAGTAGCAGTTACAACAAACGGATTAAAAATAATCCCCTCTCGAAACCCCAAATCAGTGTGAACTCTAGATGATAAACTAGAGATAAATCAAGACATAAAGGGGATAACAGACATGATGAGGAGTAGTCAAAGTGGAGCACACATGAGAACAAAAAAGAAGGAACAGAGAAAATAAGAGAGCGTGTGGGGAGCTTGAGATGTGCGTGGGATGGGAGACGGCTGAGCTCCCGCTTTTATAGCACGTGTAGAATTCGAGATTTGGCTGTGGGAAGCTGTACCTGCGTTTTCGCCCACAGGCCACCTGCTTTTGCGCTCGTGCGTGCCATGCCGCTTACGCAAGCTGTGGCCGTTGTTCGGGACCAAATCTAGAACGCCAACATCTTTTGATTCACACTTGCATTTGGAAAGAGTTGGAAACAAAAGCCGTCCACCAGATAAATGCAATGTAATCGGGTTTAGTGCAAATGGAGCGCCGCACGGACGTCTTAGTGTTAGCGTAGGCTCGTTTCTGAAAATCCATTTGCATTTTAAAAGCCCTCAGGATGAGGTTTGCATCCCTCAGGTTTACATCACAGATGTGCCGAGTCATGCGCCAGCAAAATGTGCAAGGCCTGCATAAAACGTTCCTTTATTCCCACTGCTCAGGCTTTTAGGACTGGCACCCGTCCCAGTTTCATCCACTCTGCATCTGGTTTATTTAGGACACAACTGCAGAAGGGCGTGAGAAGAACTCCATTGGCTTATTACATCAAGATGAAAATGCATCATGCTTCCCCAACACATCATTGGTTTTATTGGTTTGCCAGTCGCATCTACCCAGCAACAATAAGATTGTTTCCAGCATTGTGTTTTGAGGAGTAGTTGACACCAAAAACGACATATTCGGCTATTATTTACTCCCCCTGGATGCAGTTGTGTGCTAGATATGAGTTTTGGGTGAGGGTAAGAGCATCCGTGAATATTGACTTCAATTTTGGTCTGTGTTTCATACAAAGTATGACTTTAGAAGACTTTATATATAGTGTGTGAGCTACTTTTCTGATGCTTTTCTTTTTTGTCTTTTTTGGAACTTGATAGCTCCTGGTAGTTTTATGACAAGTACTGCATAACAGATCTTCAGTCATTCTGTCTTTTGTGTCCATGGAAAATATCATAGAGATTTGGACTGACATGAGGGTGAATAACTAATAGACAGAATTTTCTTTTTAGTGCATGAGAGCCACTGATTATTTAGACATGGCACAAAAGATGTTGAACAATTGTGCCTGCCGTTAAGTTTGAAAATTGCAACACTCACACTCATAAATTAATCATTAGAATGTTCTTAACACAAATGTACTGTTTTATGTATTTATTTATTTGGGGACAAGCACATAAGGTGCTGAAACCCTATTAGAGTGTGTGTGTGTGTGTGTGTGTGTGTGTGTGTGTGTGAATCTCAGACTCAATTTAATCTCACCCTATTAAAAATCTATTACATTTCTATTATAAATGCATTTGCGTTTTCTCTTATATCTCATGGGAACCTTTGAAATCCTTTAGTTTTGTCAAATCTGAAATTATTCCTGAAATAACTGCCGCTTAAAGGTATTTTCTTTAGTTTAGAATAATTACAGTATATTAATATTAGTACTAGAGTATAGTATTGGTTTTAGGAGAAGTGGTTTTATCGCCCAAATCTTTTAATAGAATCTTACTTGGAATGATTTTTTTTTTTCACACGAATCAACAATGTCACAAAAGCTATCATTTTAGGTAATATATATTTTGTCACAACTGTAAGATGTGACCTATCAAAATATTGTAAAGATATTATTTAAGATTTTGATTCTTGTTAAGTATGTACTGTTAGTAGCTATCAATTACTTATTTATTATTATTATCATTACTTTCCACATTACCATTCAAAACTTTGATGTCAGTCAAGAAGTCGCCATTGCTAATAAAGACAGCATTTATTAAAATGTAATTTATTTCTGTGATATAAAGCTGAATTTTCAGCATCATTTCTCCAGTCTTCAGTGTCACATGATCCTCCAGAAATCATTCTAATATACTGATTTGATGCTCAAGAAACATTTAAAATGATCAGTGTTGAAAATAGTTGTGTTGCTTAATATTTTTGTGAAAACTGCTTTTCAGAAAATGTTAGAACAATTAAAAAAAAAAAATTTGTGACAATGTAAAAGTCTTGTCATTTTTGATCAATTTAATGCATTCTTGCTGAATACAAATAGATTTCTTAAAAAAGAAAAAAAAGAAAAGTGAAATATCTGAATATCTGACCGATTCAGTCCAAAACGTGCATTAGTATAAACTTGCACTACTCTAGGCTGAATCACTGAGGCATAGAAGATTTGAAAGTCTCCAGTGACTGATATGCTGCTTCTGAGCTGTCTATTATAGTCAAACTCACAAATCATATTCACAGCCGTCTATTAGGACTTTGAGTGTCTGATTGAAGAGCGTTTTTGCAGCCGCTCTTAAAGAGAATGAGATTTGGCAGCGGTTAAGGAAACCTGATCTCAGATCAGAATGAAAGAGCATCTTCCTCCCTGAGCGGCCATCAGCGCTTCCTCGCTGCAGCTATTAGTCTGTCATTACTACTGTTATTGCAGCCGGGGGGACGGGGCGTTTGGCACAGTGAGCTGGCACTCTCCACTTTCTTCTCAATACTTTTCCTTCCATTTTTTGTCTCTTTCAGCAAGCTGCCCAGCTGGGCCAAAGCTGTGGTGCCCAGAATCTTCTATGTGACGGAGAAAGCGTGGAATTATTATCCCTACACCATTACTGGTAACTACAGCTTCTTACTCGCAAGCATACAGTGCCATTGTAATTGCTTAAAGGAATAGTTCACCCAAAAATAAAAATGGCTGAATATGTGCTCACCCTCAAACCATCAAAGATGTTGATGAGTTTGTTTCCTCACAGAACAGATTTGGAGAAATTTTGCATTACGTAACTTGCTCATCGATGGATCCTCTGCAGTGAATGGGTGCCGTCAGAATGAGAGTCCAAACATTTGTGCTCTCACAACAAAATTGACCAACATACAGGTACATCTCAAAAAATTAGAATATCATGAAAAAGGTCAATATTTTTTGTCACTCATTTCAGAAAGTGAAACCCATATATTATATAGATTCATTACACATAGAGTGAAATATTTCAAGCCTTTATTTCTTGAAATTTTGATGATTATGGCTTACAGATAATGAAAACCCAAAATTCAGTGTCTCAGAAAATTAGAATATCACTTGACCTTTTTCATGATATTCTAATTTTTTTAGATGTACCTGTATTTGTTTAGGACTGTTTTCTCTTCTAAGCAGTGCTTGATCTGTGCATATTTCTCTCCTGATTCAGACACGACGACTTTTTCACTGGAAAAAGCAATATTATGAACACAGGACCGTATTTTAGCTAGAAACAGCAATTTGGAATTTAAAAATGTCTTGATGGATTTGTTTCTTACAAACATGCAGCTTTTCACTTCATTAATTGATGGACTGGAGTCATGTGGATTACTTGTGGATTATTGTGATGTTTGTATCAGCTGTTTGGACTCTCATTCTGATGGCACCCATTCACTTCATTGGTGAGCAAGTGATGTAATGCTAAACTTCTCCAAATCTGTTCTGATGAAGAAACAAACTACATGTTGGATGGTCTGAGGGTTGGTATATAATCAGCGAACTTTCATTTTGGGGTGAACTATTTCTTTTACATACATCTTGTGATACTGTGGCAGTAGCATACTTTAACTTTATCTGAACTACTCTGTTTTCTTCATATTATTGCTTCATCATGATGACAGTATATCATGACCATAGAAGAAGACATGCTACTTTAGGTTTGATTTATGTTAGATAGGATAATAGTTTATTTGTTGTTTTCACTACAAAAAAAAAAATTCTTAAAACAGTAACGGGACACCAAAGTGTATTCTATTTTTGGAAAGTGCCACTGTTCACTGCTACTATGAATAGGTTTGATAGTCAAAACAGACTTTAAAAATGAGTCAGCTGTTCCTTATAAAATGCTGTAATATTTCTGCTGTTTTTTCACTGTCAAATCTTGAATATGTGCAGAATGTTGTTTTTCTATGGCTAGTCTCAGCTCACTGAAGAACATGTATGTTATGATGCAGTGAACATCTATGAACTACTTCTGTCAAATTAGACCTCTAAATATCAAATAACAATTTGTTAACAAAAGAAATAATGTACTTTAAAAGAAATAAAGTACTTTAACAAATACAAGGACAAATAAGCACCATAAAAGTACTGTAACAACATGTGGATGAGTAAATAATGACAGATTTTTGATTCATATTTTAATTATTCCTTTAAGGATCTTATTTGAGCAGATGTATATACAGTCTGAATCTTAAATGTGACAAATGACATTCGTCAGGAGCATCTTTTTGACATATACTGAAAGGGAACACATGGACATATCAGAGATGTGTGTGTGCATGATAAACACACACACACACACCACTCAAAATACATGCGCATATTTTTATCAGACACACACACACACACACACACACACAGAACGTCAATTCCCTGAAGAACTGAAGGTCTTTCTGTGATTGAATGTTTGATGGCTTCAAGACTGCTATGTGCTTATTGCTATGACCTTTAACATGAAGTCTCTCTTTCTCTTTCTGTCTCTCTCCCCGTCATCTTCTCGATCCATCTCCTCCCCCACCATTGGCTCAGAGTATACAGTGAGTATGGCTTCTTCTTCTTCTATTTATTTGTGTGCTTGAAACTCAAAAGCAAAATGTCAATTTCAATACTTCAACAAAATGATTATGCTAATAGACACACTCACTTCATTAAAACATTACATTTTAATAGACAGTATTCAATTAGAACAGTTGGTACTTTGTACTGCCGATACTGTAGAAGGACATTTTCTATGTAGGCAGTTCAAATCAAGCTCACTAGGATTTGGAACAGAGCTACAGTGTCTGGAAGCTGATTCCCCTTAACCACCAACCATGTTGTTATGCTATCCCAGAATGCACCGTTCTTGTTTTCCCTTGCTGTGCTGCAATATAATTAGAGTGTATTGGAAAACCAGGCAGACCAGGTGTCTTCAAGCTCCTTGGAGACCATATTAGGTTTCATGGAAAACCTTGTGCTTAAGGCCTAAATTCAAGATTATGTATCTGAATTGCATATAAAATTTCCATCCATTTGAATTAAACACATTAAGTTTATTCATTTGTTTATGTTAAAAGTGTTTAAATGTTTGTTTTATGTTAAAAGTGTAAAAGTGTTCAATCCAAATGGATGGAAATTTTATGTGCAATTTATATGCATAAATCTTAAATAGATTTTTTTGAGTATGAAATGGAAAGTGATGAAAGTCAACAGCAGCAGCATGACCGGTTGGTTTAAATGAGCGGTGGAGATGGGTGGAGGATTAAGGCTTAACTTAAGCTGGCCGACAGTCTGTGGATCTTGGAGTGGCTCTGCGTGATGTATCTGTACCTAGAGATGAATGAGAGAGCTCTTCATCGGAATACCATTATCATAATCAACCATATGCCAGGAACAACAGGATACAAACCGCTCAAATGAGAGCAGTGGAAGACGAGAAAAGCCCAAAGGATGCACAAAATGGAAACAGCTACATGTAAATTTGTGACAGTCACTTCTTTAACTCCAGGCTGTTTTGAAATACACTAATTTATTGGCTTAATGTTTATGGAGACAATATATATTAATAAATACATGTCTTAGATAAGGTTTTTTTTTTTGTCCTTGTGCTAAGAAAATTGCAGTCAACATATCAAAGTTTCAAACTTTTATTTTATCCGATGCTAATTTAATTGAGTGCAACAGTAGAGCTCAGGGAGTACAAATCCCATTCATTTTCTTCATAGAGATATAGATTTTTCGCAGTAACATAAACCTTTTAAGACAGTCCTGCCATGAGCTCAGAGGTTGTTAATTTATGGTATATGCTTGGGTTGGAGCCACACGTAAACTAATTTCTAAATAATAAAAATGTATGCAATTCCCAGTGAAAAACTACACTACCCATAATCCTGAAGAGAGATCCACCAATCAAAGAAGTCACTGTTATCATGTGATCAATGTGGTTTCTGTACTCTCTCAAACTACTTGTATTTTTAAATGTATCCAAATATTTTGCGATAAACCTAAAATGTATTGTTTTTATACATAATGACTGTAAGTCAGTAGTTTTATAATGTACTAGAGGTCAACCGATTGATCAGTTTTGCTGATTATTCGGCACTGATAACCGATTGCTGAAACAATGGGCAAGAATCCATTGTTGGAGTGGTTGAGAAGGTCCGCTGTCATTATACAGTACGAGAGCAACCTCTAGAGGCCAAATCACTGACAGCCCCTGCTGTTTGTTTTGACATAGACAACTAAACGCTATATTTACAGTACACTACCGTACATGTACTGTACATTTTTTATTGTAAAGTAATTAATGTTGACTAGATGCTGCATTAATGGAGAACAGCAGTATGTTTGCCGTCAAAGCTGAGAGGAGGTTAACTTTAGTAGTGCCTCAAGTGGTTAAATAAAAGTTCAACCTACATTAAATGTTTAATGTCACAATTGTTACCATCTGTTTGCATTAGTTTATAACAAGCTGTTGTCGTTATTGGCCAGTGCGGTGCAACCTAGTTATCATAATCAATAAAATCCACTAGCGGTTAGCCTCTGTAATGTACCATCATTTCTGATTCACTTATATCATTCACAGTGCTTTATGGTGCGAGTAGTTCATTCCCTCATACACAGTGTTGTAATGATCTTTTTTCCAAATTTCTAATACTTTTTGTTCAAGATCAGAGTTGCATGTTGTCTTGGAGCTGGTTGGTTTGGTTCATGTCTTACAATAATTTTTTGAAGAATCCTTTGAAATCTCTATGGAGAAAATTTATGAGAAAAATACTGCTGGCACCCAGGCTGCAGAAAATGTGGGTGTTCACTGCTCTGTTTTGCCAAAATGGAGACTTCCAATATATTCCCTCTAAACTAATTTCATTTTATTTGGATAGCATCCATAGTACAGATATGTAATGGGCAAATATACTTCTTATTCTGTAAGCTGTTATTATTGGAGTCTCTGTGATGTCCTGTAGTGTGTGCTGAGAATACAGTGGACTAAAGTACAAAACTAATATAGGAAAATAGATTTTATACATTTTAAAATTGTGTACATTTAAATAATATAGTTGTCAGACTTTGTTCCGTGTTTTGTGTGTGTTTTGCTCCCCATGTGCCCTCCTTGCCCATATTTGGTTAGTTTCCTGTTCCTGTCCTGATTATGTTGATTTAATTCCAGGTGTTCCCCGTTTATTTCCATTGATCCCAGGTGTGTCTCATCATCCCCTCGTCTTGTCATGTGTTTAAATAGTGTTCCCTGTTTTTAGTTCGTCCGGTATTGTTCATGTCTACATGTGCTACATGAGTTTTCCGTGTTTCCTTAATGTTATTAAACTTCTCTGGATTGATGTACTCCTCATCTCCCTCCGTTCCTTGCTCCGCACTCCACTCAGTAGTGCAACCGTGACAGAATACCGGACCAAAAAGAGATGACTGCAGCTGAGGACGCGCTGTGGGGTTTGCGGCAGGGCGGGCTGAGGTTGGAGCGATATGTGGAGGGTTTTCTCGAGCTCTCTAAC